GTTGCTTAAAAGGAGGTAATGAGAGATCACCTTATGGGGGCTCAGGAAGGAGTTGAACAGTTGCTGGCATTATATTTGCCCCAAGAGGAGTGGGCAGATATGTGTGTGATCCTGCTATTTCTGGAGAGGAAGCTAAGATTGGCTTTGCAGCAAAATACAGGTCTGTTTAAATATTACTACAAGTGATGTAGCTATTTCACAAAGTGAAGCAACATCATGAAAACATGAAAGCACCTAGTTTGATCTTTGGGGTGATGGACTGATGCTGCATCAGGATAATGCTGTTTCCCTGGATGTTTTCTTAGCACCTGACGCCTGCTTAATGTGGGAAACACCTTTCCGAGCATAATTCTTTCTGTCCCATTTGACTCTTGAGGGTCTGCCTTCCTGTCCAGTTTGACCATTGAGGGTCTGCTCTGGATTCCCCTCCCCACCCCACCCATGAGAGGTTAAGGGGCCTTGGGCCGAGATATAGGCCTTCTCGATAGGCCCTTGTTTAATGGAACATCTCCCTGTTTGCCTTGTAGTCAGATCTTTGAAACGATTTGGGCCCTAGAGTGTTCTGGGTCATATCTATTTTTACAATTGTTTTAATGATTTTTCATATTATATTTTAGAATTTTTTTTTTTACAATTTCATTCATTTTTATTTGTTTGGGTATCTCACCCAGAGTCTTGTGGATTGAGCACATTGGAAGCCCTGTAAATCAATCACTCAGTGTTGGCATTTAAGCAGGCCATATATGGGACCCTGAGAGTCTCCATTGCTCTTCTGTTCTTTACAGAATAACTTGCAGAAAGTCCCAGAGCTCTGTTTCCCAGGAAGCATCCGTTCATCCCAGAAAGCACTTCTACATCTCCCTCCCTGTCCTGTGCCATTCCCATTGCGGTCTACCACATCATCTCACTTGTTTCATCTGCGACAACATCAAAAGCTCAGTTCCCAGAAATCTGCCTTTGAAACACTGCAGTAGTTTTTCATCTGGACCAGATCGGGTGACCAGGCTTTGGGCTTTAATTAGTTTAGCCCGAGGGAAGGGAGAGATTTTATTTTAATAGTGCTTTTATAGGGAAGACTGATTCAAATTCTAGCAATGGAGAAGGGTAGCAGAACATCTATATCTAAAACCACTGAGGCTGTTTGAGAAGGCCGGTATGTAAAGTAAGATGATATGCAGAAGTTCACTTTTTTCTGGCAAAGGAGGCAAAAACTGGAAACATGAGTGTCATTTGCAAACCCTGCCCTAACTTCAGATTGAAAGGGTGAGATGAGCGGGGGAGGAGTTGCAGATAAAGAAGAAAAGGCTGGCCTGACCCACTTTGGATTCAGTGCCCCCCCATGGCTTGTTTCAGCCCCCAGTGGGGCATGGGTTGAGGGATTAACCCCAGTGGTCTATGTCTTCAATGAATGAAAGCATCTCTCCCTAGCTTCAATCAAGGAACCTAGTTGCTTGTATCTCTGCAGTAAAACTAGTCATTGGATTCTGCTTGACAAGATGGTTTTAAGTTGAACAACACCATCATGGCCTCGAGGGCATTTTATGCTTCCTCAGAGAGTCATTTTCTCTTGGAACCGGATGTCAGCTGTAGAAGGTAGACCAGACTAAGAAACCAATGCTATATAGGTCAGGACTACTTTTACTGGAACAGCTAGAGTAACAGAATCTTGCAAGTCTGAATGTGCTTCCCCCTTCCCTAACTTAATCTTTTTATGAAGTAGGGAGGGGCTTGCCTGAGATGTTTTCTCATGTTATTTTCTTGGCCTGGGCTCAGGCCCCTCTTATCTGACCATTGCCTTGGTAGCAGTTCTTCTGTCCTTCAAGGCCATTCCCTCTGCCCTCTACTCCAGATGATCCTTAAGCACGCTGTGCTTGTCATCCAAGACAAGGAAGCCTGTTCAGCGATTCACCTCTCTGCATTTAAAAGCCTTCCATCAAAAGGAAAATGAGAAACACAGCAATCTGGGTAGGCTTGGTCTCTAATTGCAGCGTCCATGCCTTGTTGCCCTTATTTTTTTCCCTGAAGATTTAAACACTTTCCTCCTCCCTGAAAATGAACCCACTCTCACACATAAGATCCCCATTGAGTTTAATAATGGGTGTGGAGCATATCCCTTGTCCCTTTTGTTCTTGAGAATTAAACTTCTAGCGTGCTGTAACACAACAGCAGTTGTTCCCTGCTGATTTGATAATGGTAGAACCGCCGATTGCAGTTCACAAAAGGGTGCTAGTAAACCATTACCTTGGCATGCAAGTGAAAAGAAATAAAAATCCACCCCCAGAATCTGCAGACACTGTGGCCAGCATCAACCTTCCCTGATATGCTGCCATTCAGAAACATTAGGATTGTAGCTCTCATAATCCCTAGGCAGGAAAGGTGTCACTGGAAGGATGGAATTTATTCTTTTATTTTTTAAAATATTTCTGACTAACTTTATATCCAGATATTCCTGGGTGGTATTCAATAAAACGGATCCACCATAAAGCAAAAACAAGTCACTGGATTTTAGTCAGTAAAAACCCACAAAGGCAAGAGTCGATGATCAATGTGTGAGCCAGCACTATAGAGCAGTGTTTTTCAACCTTGGCAACTTTAAGATGTGTGGACTTCAACTCCCAGAATTCCCCAGCCAGCATGAATTGAATTTGAGACTGTAACTACACAACCAGCCAAGGGGCTCACTTAACCTGTTGGCCTGAATGCCTGTGGGAACATCCAGGTCTTTAACACTTTATGAATGGCCAACAGGTTTGGGGCCATCCTGATCTCTGGGGAGAGGCTGTCCCACAGGGCAAGCATGGCAACAGGCGTACTGCAGTCTACTGCATATCTGAAGGTTTCTGTCATACTTCCATTCTTTTTTTTCTGCAGGCTAAACCCACCCAGTTCCTTTAACTGTTCCTAATAAGACTTGGTTTCCAGACCCTTCATGATCTTGGAAGCCCTTCTCTGAACTTTTGCTGATGTCCTTGTTCTGGTGCCCAGAAGTGGACAAGCAGGCCATGACCAATTATTGGGGAGGAACAATTATTTTCCATAGTCTGAACTCTGTGCTTCGCTTAATGCATCCTAAAATAACATTTGCCTTTTGGACAGTTGCATCATACTGTTGGTTTGTCTTCAACTTGTGATTCACTACAACATCTTACACATCCACTACTGCCAAGCCAAATCTCCCCCATCCTATACGTGTGCCTTTCATTTATTTCTCTCTCCAAATGCAGGACTTTGAGTTTCTCCCTGTTAGTGTTCATTTTGGCCTTTCTTCAAGCCTGTCTAGATCTTTCTGAGATTTCTCTTTCTCTTCAAAAGGGTTAGCCGCCCCTCCCAAATTTGTGCATCTCAACTTTGATAACCATCACCTCCAGCCCTTCATCCTTAATCCAGGACCTTAATTTAAAAAAAAAAGAAAGGGGACAGCACAGGGGCCAATGACACTCCACTCAGTGCTATCAGCTTTCCAAGCTGATCTGATCATCCATTTGTGAGTCTGGGTGCAAGCATTTGTAACATTAAAGAATTATCATTTATGTTCTTTAATATAGGTTTAGAAACTTGTTTGACATTTGATGGATGTGTTTTTTAGACTGTAAATAGTCAGTTCCCCCCTTTTTGCTGGGTTTGTTTGTTTTTAATTAAGTTTGTTACTGGGTTTTTTGGGGGGGTTCATATATTTTCCTTTTTCTCCCTTTTTTGTATTTCTTTCTGTAAAATAAACAGACTAAAAAAAATCAAACCAAGATGAAACAGGTGTTTGGTAGCTGTCTTAGTTGCAATCCTGGCTAATCATCATTTCTGCTAATAATTCTGCTTCCAAAGTGTTGAAGTTTTTCATCAGAGACATTTGATGATTCTTCTCTGGCTGATCTTAATATCTTTTTCTCCTTTGGGCGACTTGTGTAAAGATCACCCTCGGGGCCTCTCGTTCAGCCACTGCCTAGGCTGAAATCTGCTTAGCTTGAATAAAACAGCCATAGTTGAGCCCCCAGACTATAAAATAATAAGCTTTGCAGGATCGCAATGGAGTGATGTTCCACTTTGACCCTGCTTTCACAATTTATTGTATTGGAGCCAGAAGGTAAACCACTAAATTACTGATCCTGGTTATAAATTACAAATTTAGGATTTCCCTCCCACGATGGATTTATATTGGTGGGTATATCCCACACCCCCACACCCAAGTCAGGATGAAATCTTGGCTCTCTGGCAAGCAGATACGTGCCTTGTTGAGGAATTTAAAAAAAAAAAACTGTTTAGAACATCGGGATGAACATGGGTATAATTATTTTTTAAAAAAATAATAGCTAAAAAAAGCTCTGATATAAATTCTGGCAGCACAGGACTTAACATGCCACAATCATTACAAGTGCCATAAATAAAATTTCCTTGTTCTGCACAACTCCCCCACTGCTTTCTAAATATGGCCTGCAATCTGTACTCCTGCTTTATTTCTTTGAGTGACGTTCAGCATGAGATATAGCCTTTCCAGGAAACACAAAACTATCCATTGGCCCTTTGGTATATTCAGAGTCACTCTTAATTTCTCGTGTGCCTGAGTGCCAAAGGATTGATTTTAGCTAACTGACCTTTTGTGGACTTTAAACCTGTTTTAAAAATCAGTGGCGTTCAGTATGTCTTAATAAAGAAGGCATTGGTTTAAAATGCACAATGCTTGTGCTATACGTGGGGACAAAAGATAAAAAGATTGTGCTCTTGGGATAATGACTGTCCACCAGGGGTCTTGAACATTGGTTGACCATGAGTGAATCAGGAGAAGTCCATGGATGGCACAGGTTTCTGGAGTTGGTCTGGAGAAGCTGTTTGTAATATTCAGAGTCACTTCATTTCAAAATCTGAAGCTCTCTTCTCCTTGTTTTTCTCTCCTCTCCCCCTTCATCTAGCTAGGTGGTCTTGTTTGAGTTTTAAGAACAATTGATGCCTGCTGAGTACAGTAAATGAGATGCTTTAATTGACTTGGAAATGTTTTCCCTTGCCTCCAGCTTGCCACCATTCCTGTGCTACGTGCCGGGGTCTGACCGCAAACAACTGTTCCACGTGCAGAGACCCGTCTCTCGTGTTACTGGAAGGCACGTGCGTGGCTAATTGCGGGGAGCGGTTCTACGTTAGGGATGGAGTTTGCAGAGGTAAGAGCCACACCTCTGTGCGCTGTGACTTTATTTCACCTTTTAGCAAGGACCAGCTGTTGAGAGCCATGCGGCTGTTTCCCCCATATCAGGATAATAATTGTGGGTGTGGAGGCTTTCCCCCAGCCTGTATTGCTGTTGAGAGTGTGTGTGCACATGTGTGTCTGTGTAAGAGAGAGAGCGAGAGCGCGCAACATATGAAACCACCCTTTCTTGAAGGGTTTTTCATAGTACCTCCATTGCCTTCACAACAAATGCTCCCATTTTCCCCTTGCCCCAGGATAAGGCACTCCTTTAACTTCATAGACACTTTTCTCGGGGAAAGCTTTGTTTAACCAGACAGTAAACACAACATTATCTAGAGTTAAAGGTGGGTTTATCAGCAGAAGAGCACCACGCCTGTCAGCATAAATATTTGGTGCTAAACACCACTCCTTTTCCAAGCCCTCTTGGTGGGTTTTAATAGAGACCAAACCCCTGGAGGTTTACCCTCATACTGAGCAGTAATGAAAAGATAAATGAAATTTTTTGCAGGCTTCCCAGTGGGGCTTAGTAATGGAAAATGCAGACTTTATCCGCAGCCCATTTCTACTTGTGGGCTACTTCAGCAGTGTAGGCCAAGATTGCTGCTAATACCAAATTTTGTTAAAAGGCAACAACAAAGGAGGAGACTAAAGTGTGCCCTCTTGGGCTAGTGAAGGTCAGGTTTGGGCTCCAGAGCTCTGTTTCAGGTGTTTAGTAGGGATTCAGTGAACATGTGTTGTAGTAGAGAGATCTAATTCCTTACACAGGGGCATCAGTGTAGTGCAGAGTTTCTTAACCTTAGCAGCTTTAAGAGGTGCGGACTTCAACTCCCAGAATTCCCCAGCCAGCATGCTGGCTGGGGAATTCTGAGAGTTGAAG